TTTAAACGCTCGCGTGCGAGACGAACCGTGATGAACTTCAAACTTCAGGACCAAAAAGGAGAATCGACGCTTCTCGTTAAAGCGACGCTTGAACATCGCAGATATTTCTTAGCCCAAATGAATAGTTTCGCTCGAAACTTCGGAACGATTTCACAGGGAACGCCAGTTCTATGGCGTATCGTGTTCTTTCTTTTCTTTTCTGGCGCTCCCAAATGCGAGACATTTCCTTCTTTGCAACAGAATTTCCTTCGATCGGCGACTCGCAGGATTTTTAGGACACTGCTCTTCCAATATATTTCAAAATTCTCGATTCGACGTTCAATTTACGGCGGATGGTTTGATTTTCTTGGAAACCGAACTGGGAAATCCCGCGACGTTATAACTTGCCCCGGATTTTAAGCATGATTCCCGAAAGTGGCGAAATATCGGAAATAAGGAAATTTAAGAGACACACCCGAACGTAGCTATTTCGGAAATCAATTCTTCATGTTTCAATATTTTCCTTTATTCTAGTTTGGACAGCAGTCTAGTTCTAGTTTAGACTACGCTTACGTAGATCAATAATTTTTTCAATTTTCTGATCTTCATTCCCCATAATTGCAACAGTAGCTGTAACTTTACTCGTAGATAATCTTCTTCGGGGTACTCATATGAAATCGCTGTAACTTGAGATTGAATTAATGTTATTACTCCAAAAACACTCAGCTTATTCTTGAAACACATAATAACTAAACTACAAATTTCAGAGTTAATAGATTTAACAGCTTTGTTTAAAAAAATTCCCGTACGTTGTGTTATTATTACACTGTGAAGTGCAATAAGGATGACAGAATTTCCATTAGATATTCTTGGTAGCCAGCGAAGAGGAAGAACAGATTTTCATCCGGGAAGGTAATATTCCAGCTATAAATTATCCTGTTTGCTCGTTAACTCGGAGCACAATGCTGTCGCGGCCTCGGTATCCTCGAGTGTACGCGTGCCTTCTTCTGCAACCGAAGTTTCGTCGTGTTTAGCTCGCAGTTCATCGGGGGAACCTCTTTTCGCCGCTCCGATTACCACCACAATGGGCTGCTTCCTGTTTTCCTGGGAGTAGGCCAAGTTAACCGCGAAATCAAAACTGAACAGATTCCGGGAAATCAATCGATCGCCAAGGGAATTCGCTTAGGAATTCTTTTCATGGATCGGCGTGAGTGCCCCATTCGCAAAATTATTGGCGGCATTGTGCGGCAGTCGATCGATACGTTCTCCACAATGTAATTGTAGTTGGTACGGTGTTGTTCGCAGTTTTTGATACGCAGATACGAACAGAACAGCAGCGATAAGAGCGGAGAGAAGTGGGACGAGGAATGGATATTAAATTCGCTGACTGGCATGGTCATTCTTTTCGAATTTCGACGCGTGCAATTAGTACTAGCGTACTTCTATCGCAGTCAGACGTCGGTAGATTGCAAACATTTTTAGACTTGTATGAAATATAAATGCTAGCAACGGTATAAAATACATGCGTAGAATTGATGTTCAGTATTGTTACTTTAATATGGATTTTATAATTTCACTTAGGAAATTTTATTTTACTGATTGTTTCTCAGAAGTGAGTGTATTAAAAATTGAAGTTATTCGATATAAGAAATTGTTCGATATAATGTAGGTAGCATAGATATTTAACGCTAGAATTATGAAGCAGTTGAATTCACTTTTTCCAATTCTGCTATAGAAACTTTAATTTAATGAAACTTTGAGTAATTTGTGATTCATTTTGCGAATTACTAAACTAGTTTCTTTAGTAGTTTCTCGGAGAAATATTTTTTTCAATAATTGTGAGGGAACAATTCAGAAATTGATCATTTTGATACATGTTTTAGAGTCAAATGGATATATCTTAAAAATAAGTTCATTTTTACCAGTTTCTCTAGTGAATGAAATTCCTTGTGTCATGTAACAAGTAAGACTGACTTCTATTCAACCGCCCAGAAGGAGTTAATAATCTCTCTATTACCAGTCTGCAATACACATCCCCAGAAACGGTACTAAAAATTCCTGGCCAGCGATTCGTCATCTTCGGCGACGAGCCGGAAATTTCGAGTTGCGACCGTGATGGAGGCAGCCAAACTGAAATTTAATCAAGGCTTCGCGTGGAATGTGAACGAGTACGCTGCTTCCGCGGGCAAAACCGTCGAGAGATGGATGCTGGGATCGCGTATTCGCTAGCCGATCGAATCTAATTAACTATCCGATCAGAAAACTGGAGTATATTATCAAACAATTCGAAGCAACATTTTTGTGTAAATACTTTTCAAGAATTAAAATGATCAAAAAGTCTTCTTTAAATAGAACTCTAGCACTAACTTAACTCTAAAATATATGTATTATGTAACAATCTCTAACGCAATTATTCCTCGAACATTTTTTGAGAAGTAAAGTTTTTTAAACTGTTGTAAAATTTAAAAAAATTTATATATATAACCGAATAATTTGTAGCAGATTTCTGTGAATATTTTCAATGATTAACGTTTTCGACAACTTCTATACATGAAACTGATATTAACTGTAGAGTACATTACCATAGTATAAAATTAAAAATTTCTGCGAACATTTCTCGAGAATTAAAATTTTCAAAAAAACTTTATAAGGGACTAATATTGATACCGTTGTTAATGAGATCGGGGATTTTATTTCGACCCCCTCCCTGCCTTTCTCTCGCCCCTGCTTCTAAGTCCTCCCTTTCCGTTCGCGCGCCCCCTCGGACTCGGACCCTCGAATCGTTTAATTCACCGGTCCAGGAATAATTGAGAGATAAGAAAGGAATGGAGGAAACGTGCCAGCCCTGAGACGAAAATGAATTGCGACTCCGGAGCTCCGCTAATGAATTACACCGTCACTTTATATTTTTTCCTAATTAATGAACGCCGCCTATTAAGCGCCGAGGAACGCCGCTAAATTGCTTCGTTCCCGTTCGTTTCTTTTCGAGGTTACGCGCTTCAATTGTCTCGTCCCGCATTTTTCTTTCCAGAAAGCCTCCTTTCGAGGGCTGACTGCTGCTAAAGACATTGCCTAAGATGCTAGCGTTGATATGAAAGCGAAGAGCGCTTTTTAACATTCGGCAGAAAAGTATTTAACAAAACTTTGCACACTCCGTGAATAGACAGAAGATGTCAATGGGTTGTATGCATAAAAGTAAATGCTTATAGGTATTAAGTATAAGTAAAAACTAATGCTGGATCTCTTATGCATAATGTTTTACTAGTATTAGACAGCATTTACGAAAGTATTTAAATTACAATAAGTATTTACTTGATGTTTTTAGTAAATACCAAGTCTCATGCATACGAATTTTAAGTATTTACGAGAAAATTCAGTAAGTACTCCGCCCTTTACGCATATAAAACCAAGTATTTATTTACAAAATTCCTAGTAAAAGCTAATACTTCTTTTTGTGCATACGACTAAACATAATTTTCAATATTCGGAAATTAATGTTTAAAAATTGGAATCGCATAAATTATTCATTTTTATACAAAGAATTTCAAAACATTTAATATGTTATAATAATCTAGTAGCTGCTTTATAGTGCTTAGAAACACACGAACATGCTCAGTGTATTCCTAAAATTAGCAACAACATTAGCAGTGATAATTTCCGCAGAAAATCGCATCTCACACTGAAAGCTTTGATAAACCCAACAGATCTCAAACAACCTCTCGAAGCTATGAAATGTCCATTTTCACTCTCATTCCAAGTCGCAACCAGCTCGTTTTCAAAACCCCCGTGTGCGTAGCCGTGTTTTCCGCCGAACAAAGTTACCAGAATCAGTAGCGGGACATAATGAAATGTCCAGGTTCCCTTGCAAACACCATGAAACCGTGTTATCAAGTAATATTCCGCATATAAATATAACCAGGATTTACGGTGCTGAAATAAAGAATTGCGTAGACGCCTGGGGCAAGATATCTGCAGCTTTTAACGAACGTGCTCGCGGCACGCGTCGTTACACCGTAACGAAAACGAATCGCAGCTGAGATGGCCGCGATAATGAATTCAAATCGATTCGGGCTCCGTTTCCTTCACCTAGCGCGAACCCTCGTGTCTTTTTTCCCGAGCGAAATCAAGGGAGGACGAGGGATTGATCCGCACGGAGAAAATCCCCGAGAAAATGGCCGCGGCTGGTGATTTACGCGCCGCTGCGGAATAAATTCGAAATACCGCGAGCCAGTCTCCGGTATATACGAACTTCGCGATTTATCTTTCGCGGCTAAATAGATTTATTCGTCAAAACACGCATCGAATGGCCGGAGAAAAAATACGTGCGCGACCCGCTGCGTGTCATATCTGTCGGGTAAACAAACAATAGCCGGGTACGGACTGAGCAAATAATTTCGCCCCATAAATCTCCGGCGTCGATGTAACTCGAACGCCGTGCCCCGTCGATTTTAACGCGTTCTCACGCGCGTATTTATTAATAGCGAACACATGTTCTGGGAACTGGGCAGAACACATTTCACGCAATTCTGTGGCTCGTCCTTTGATTCGATTTTTATTTGGCACTTGTTGACTGCGATCGGTCAAATGACTGGTTGTTAAATTTGATTAAAAATCTTGCATTTCCTTTTGTCCATTTAACTTTATATTAATTCGTATATTTTTGTTTTTCCTTTTGTTTCTGTTTTCACTGAGAAGAATTTATCGTTTCATTTGTTTACCTTTATTGTATAACCGATTATTTGACTGATCCCAATAGCAACAGATGTATATAAAATGTCGGTACGTTTAGTGTTAAGAGTAGGGTTGATTGACGATCACAGAAGATATTTGTGGAAAGATTGTGTCAGATTCCAAATTTTTCGGGTGGAAAACAGTTACCTAACGTTATTTTGAATATTATAATCATGTCATTTTTCGATATTATCAGTATTATGGATGATTACTATTATTGGTGATTTCTTGCAAAAGGAAAATTGCATTTAAATTGTATACTACAGGATACTAAAAAATTTAATTATTGGTAGTTACAGTGTTTTCTATAAGAAATCTCTAGTTGCTTTAAATTTATTTATTTTTCGGGATTCGAGGATTATAAATGATCAAACGCAAAAAAATGAGTGAAAAATATAGAATACAACTTTTCACGCTTTTCAATTAATCACGCTTGATGTGCATCAGACGCGCAAGGCAAGTTTGTTACTGACCTACCGTTTCTACTTATAGGTACTAATACGTTTAAAAATCGAAGCGACCTACAGAGGACTTTCATTCTATGTGTTTGACTCGTTTTTTCGCATAAACTGTCTTTGCTTCCTTCTTCGTTTACAATGACTTTATTCATTTACAATATTTATTTCACTTACTGTCGATTAGCAAGATTAAAGCTGTTGTCAATGAATTTTTCCAATTAAAACATTATACCTTCAACTTCACTATATTACTACAACTCCATCTTCCAAAAGGCAAACTTCCAAAAAGTCCCAGTAAAAGTAAATACAGCTTTCATGACAATTTTACCTCTTCTATGGCAATCAATTTTCAGCCAGACAGCGTCATTTCTCTGAATTCCATAAATCAACGGACAATTTAAAAATGTACACATTTTCTACGAAAACAATTAAATATTAGCATACAATAATATTTATTTCATAATCACCGTACGCGTTTTCAAGCAAACAAAACTATACCACTGTAATCAGATCATATCTCTTTCCCTCTCAAGTTCATCTAATACATACATTTCGTTCAATACTGTCAATGTCACTTCCGCATACAAAACCTCGAATACGTTTCAACCTACTAAACAACATCTTACGCATTATTTCCGATACTCAACAATCTTCCAAAATAATGACTTCTACAAATCGATCACAAGCAAAGTCGCTCCACTATAGCGCTCAACATTGTTGACGAAACTACCTCGTCACTGCTCCCTTTGATATAAAACGCTCACAACGATCTTATCATTTCAATATCCGGTATTAACAAACGCGTAAGGGGCACTTTCACACGGCTTCGTCTTTGACGCTGAACGCTGGATTCTCCCTGGACCCGCGTGAATCTTCATTGGTCAATTTCGGGCAGCCCTTCCGCAGCTCGTCCGTGCTGGCCACATTCCTGCAGGTCCTGTCCTGGGTCCTGGGCGGCGCGCTGATGACTTCCGTCAGCTGCACCGTGGTTGCGGATCTCGACGCCTGAAAGCAGAGTCACGGCCGGTTCTAGAGAGAGAGGAGCTCTCGGTTTTCCGAGCGTTGCGTCACGCGGTTCCACGACGCGTGGTTAGTTAACTGTTCGCTCTGATTTCCTCTGTCCCGATTGCCTCGCAGCTATGCTCGTTGTTGCGAGGAAATCGAATGGAGCTCGGCCAATTGTCGCGCACCGCATCGGTCGCACGAGAGCGAGGGCGCGGTCTGATAGGAAACGGCTCCCTTGCCAGGGACTGATAGGGCAAAGGACTGTCAATCGCAACGCCCGTTAAACCTCGGAACCCTACGTCCCCGCATTAATTATTCAGATTTACCGTTTAGCTACAACTAGGCTTGGCTTTATGTGTTTTTAGGAGCTGAATGTAATTTTATCCATTTTGATAGTGAATCTGAGTTGCATTTTTCTAAATAAACGTGTTGTTCTCTTTCATTTCGCTTTAGCTTTTTATTTTAATATATATATTAGGTACATCTGCTCATTGTTTGTGTATACTCGTCATTGGTTGATTTTGTTGGACACGAGAGATTTTTAAAACCGCCCGGTTTACTGATTGAACAACGGTTTTTTTATGCGAAATGAAAGATTCCTGAGTTGATTTAAGAGAAAATTGAATTTTCTTCATTCCTACTATTCCTATGTTATATAACGATTTCGATTTCATTTTGTGGACTGCATTCACATTTACAACCTTCGTAATAATAACATTATGGAGTCTCCGTTATTAAGTCATCTATTACAGAATCTTCTTCCAAGGATACTAAAATCGATCCAGAACCGAGATGGAGCATTGAAAACTCGTAACGCAGATAATGCTCTTAGTCCGCCATGAAAGATTAAAAAGGAAGTAGTTCGTTTTCTCAGTATCTCCTATCGGAACCTTTTATCAAAACGTTGAAAAGAAATATCCGACAGCAAGAAAATCTGTTTCGAAGCAACGATCTAAAATAGAATCTTCCGGTCACTTTGTTTTGGTCGAAAATTAACTTAGTCTATTTAACAGGCAAATGTTCAGTGTAGTTTCAAATCTTCAATTTTCGCGAAGTCGAAATCGAAGTAGCTCAAATTCAGTAATTATATACCAATTATGTAATAACGTTTATTGAAACTTTAAAATGTATTTTGATGTACATACGTTTTGTCAAATCAATGCATTTAATAATTTCAATAATGATAAAAAAGTCAATCCAAAGTGGTTCGTTTTGACCAGTCTGGTGGTTCTAATGTTAACCGGTTCATACGAACCTTCAACATCCACTCGTTCGGCCCTCGTAAATCACCAATCCCACCTGGCAGCAGATAACCTCGTTTTATGTTATCAACTAACCTTGTTCCAATTCGGACAGGCTTTCAGCACGTCGTTTACCTAGGGTGCTTCTTTTTTCCATAAATTACCGTTTCCATTTCCCCGTTTCGACTCGCGGGCCTTTCCAAATTATCCTGTCGCGACGATGAGCTGTCCAGTTCTTAATATCCGTTCATTAGCCGGCTTGTTCACCGCCATGATACTTGTCTCATCTCGTTTCAGCGCGAAAAACTCACTAGACAGACACGGAAGAACCGTCGATGTGAATTCGTCGCGGCGTTATTTTCACGCGCGAATTCGTACGTTTCGTTTAGTAATTTTTTGCATGCGGTGCACGGTGACGAACGTAAGTCACGAAAAAATACATGGAATTGACACAAAAATGAACAAACTCACCGTATCCAATGCATCGTTACATTGATTATATACGATTTTTTATGGAATTATACGTATGTGGTAAATATTGTATAGATTTCGTATATGAAACTATGTAAAAGAATGATGATAAAGGGAAACGTTATTTCAAATTCTTAATTTTATAATCACATCGTGACCGAGTCTAAACTTGTTTGTGTAATAGTACTATAATATAATAGTAAATTTCATTTAAGATAAATATATCACTTGTTTCTTGCTAGAAAATCACTGAATCACAAAACAAGGGGTTAAGAAACAAATATACAGCATTGTCATATATCGAAACTTATTAAAAATTCAGAAATAAACAAGCTTGAAACTAAACATACTTTAGTCAAATGAACCTAAAGTGTCCTAAATATGCGTATATCCTGCGCCTGTGAAAAGATTTTCAATCTTTGTGTTTCCCATCGTTACCGAAATAATATACAAAAGTTGTGTCATTTAAATATTGTTTACATCAATAAAATTCTCTTCGTCCTACATTGTATAAAATGCTCAAAATTATTGAATGAATCAACATGTTAGTAAAAAATGAATCGAATCGATCGAACACAGTAAAAAATCGTTAGCAACCGTGCACGATCGTTAGTTCCCTCGTACAGAATCCCTATGACCAAAACTCCATGAATCCTCGTGGTCACGCTGCCCCATCGCGCGATATGTCGGCGTAATAGGATCTTCAGGGCAACCGGATCAGTTCGTCCCTAGTTTTTCAGACAATTCAATTACATTCTACCCCATCGGACACGCGGGCGGTCCGAGTGACTTATTACAAGATTAAAAGTAACCCGTCCGGAAAAACTTGCCCCCGGTCAACCGAACGTGTTCGCTCTCTAATTTCTTTAACCTATGCATCTGGTCGATCCTCTTTCCGCTCTCGTAGAAAACGCTACCGAAACCTTCATTTACCAGATCAATTACACATTCTCTTTTCAGAACGCGATTCGTTTTTGAGAATTTGAAAAAGAAGAAACGTCGAGATAGGGAAAGGATTTCGAAAAACTGAAATAAGAAGGGGGAAGCTGAATCAAGGTCAACGGTGAATGAAAAGTAGGTATTAACCAAATTAATAATTTTCTATCAAGTTAGTTAACGAACTTACCAAGTAATTAAGTTCATAAATTGTCTTCAGCATATGGAATAACACTAGAACTCCCGAGGAGTCAAATCAAGTCTAAAGTTCCTTATATCTACAATTCACGAAAGTACATTTTTCGTTTGAAACTTTTATTCGTACGAGCATTAATCAATTTTTATAATTATAATAATTTTAATTATAATAATTTCTCAGCAGCTTATTTTTATCGTTTCAATAATTGTAAAAGGAGAAATCAAATTGATCCGTTTGGTAATTTCAGTGTTAAGCTTTCTTTGAAACTCCAAAACAATCCAATCTTAATTTCAGTCTTAATTTATTAGATAG